ATTAGGAACAGGTCTACTAACCATCTGTTCCAGCGAGGTTTCGCTTGCCTCTGCAGTTGAATGTTTGCTTAGGGAGACAGAGGGTAAAGAGAACTGCTTTGGCAGGTACACCATTGTTTACCCAAGAGACCTGGCTGAAGCACCATCAAATACTGTCTGAGTGTAGGTTAAAGCAAATTCTCTGACACATACTGTGCCATCTCAAAAGGCTAAATGGCTACGGTCAACAAAAAGAAACATAGAATATAGCTCCTGCTAAATGAAGTTCCCTATCTGGATGTATTAAGGCATCTAGCACAGTGAGATAGCTCCTAGTTATCCCTAAGAGTAAAACAATAATTTAATAAAGCATTTTGAAAAGCACTTTTATCTGTTGATAACATAAGCAAAATGCCACTGGTTGGGCTCCATAATACTGACAGACAAAAAATGTGTACAAATGTTCTACCAGGGGAATAAACAAGCCGCTAATGGGTGGGTTTTGTGTGTGAATGAGACAGAAGATTTGGACTCCCCCTAAACACCCCATGTGTGGTCATGAATAGGGGAGTACAGAGCCCTGTGTCATTGCCGTGGGAACCGGGACTACATTAAACAGTCATTATCCTAAGTGGCTCAAGCCATGTTTTATCTATCAGCATCCCACTTAAATAACAATAGGGTATCCAAAGCATATCAAGCATGAGGAGATGATGTGTCTTCATGTGATAAGCTTTAAAGCTGCGTTTGGCAAGAAGAACCAAAATACACCTGATTTATCTGCTAGAATCACAAAATGGAGCTGCAGTTGACGAGACTATTACAAGTCTACAAACTGAGATTCCACAGATTTGACCTATTTGCCTAAATTTAATTTTACTGTGGGGTTTGGACAGAAGCATCCCTGTCAACAGGAATCAACAAGTGAGCACTCGGGCCAGTGAAAATGGAAACTCTTCACTCTCTCCACCCCTAAAAGCAAGAGAAGACATTTAAGTCTAAGAAGAGTGCAGTTTAATGATATCATATTACACATTTTCTGGGTTTTGAAGTCTTCAAACTTCAAACAGCGACGTCTCACTGCCATTTGGGACTGACTGTGTGCCAAGTTGCCTGGTGCAGCTTTAAATAGAAGACATTAATGAGTGCCTCTTCTAAAATATGCATTGAGTCCTATTTAATCTTTGCTCACATTGCAGCAGCTAGAGGTGAATAATTCTGAACTTTATTTGACTCAGGCACAAATGGATTTCTCTTGGATGAGCATGGCCCAAGTAATGGTACATGAGCCAGTAATTGTCTTCTAAAATATTGCTGGTTGTTGGCCAGTTCAGCTAAGAAAAAAAAGACAATAGTGATACATAGTCATTGCGAGATGAAATGCCAAGTAGCAATTGTCTTATGTAGAAGAAACTCCTAGGCTTAAGGGGATGGTGCCCTGGATTTCAATTTAGAGTTTTACAGTGTTTTATATGTAGAGCAAGGTCTCGTTTTAAACTCTACTGAAGAATATCAGGGAACAAACAGATGGATGAATGTAGTATATTTTGGGTTGAAGCTATAATTTGTCTTATTTGCAGAGAGAAAAGCAAATATTAAATCTTAATAACATGGTTGTAATTCATTTTTTATTTGTTACAGAAAGGAATCCAGCTTGATTTTCATATTAGTGTTTGCTTTCCCTTGTGGGTAATACAATCTCTGACTCATCTAAACACATTCACTCTTCCTTCAACTTTTTTGATCAAAACTCCCAGCAGTTCTGTATTTTGCAGGATATTGTCTACACACCATAAGAAGGTTATTTGACTGAAGGCTGGTATTTGTTGCAACATGCGTAGCACATTGTCCAATGCGCCATATGCAAACAACACAGAGCACATGTTTTTTCCGTGCTGCCTGACAGGCCAAATCTTATTACAGTTGAATGTTTTTTACACAGCTCTGTGCCGCGGCCTTGGGAGTCGCTTGCTATCAGTGCAGGGCCAGACGGTACAGCAGATGTTTTAATAGTGCCCCTTATGTCCCGCTTGATCCAAGTCAGCTCACCTGGTGTGAATCACTCTTGTTTTTTTTCTTTTTCTACCAGCTTGGGCATACTTTCTGCTTTGTTTGTTTGTCCTATTGCTTTTCTTTCCAGAAATAGGGCTCCTCTTTCCACTGGCAACTCGCAAGGCAGTGTCTAGCCTCAGGTGTATTAGAGCATGACTGTCCCCCCAGTCAGCCTCTTGTCAGTGTGAGAACAAAGCAGCAGCAGCATAAGCGACAACGCAAGCCAGCCTCAAACCCGCAGCACACCTTCAAATCTCCCCAAAGCTCCGCCTTCCTCTTTGTCTCCCTCGCTCTCGCCAGTTCTTCATCTCCACTATTATATTATTTTTTCTTCCCCTTCTTCCTTCTGTTTCTGCACCACTGGATCTCATCACCCTCACAAAACCTACCTTCTTAATGCCTCATGCATGTATGTGGCTTTGCTCTTCTGTGGTTTTGCTGCTCTGTGGTGCAATCTATAATTACAGCTCTACTGTATGCTGAGCCAACGACTTCTCCAGTCCTTGAGTGAAAGGGGTCCCCGTGGGCGCCCCTGGTCCTTCAAGGAGGGGATTTGGGCTCTGTGGCTGTGTAATTATGCCTATTCCTCTGGTTTCCATTTGCGTGAGCTGCTGTTTATTTGGTTCAATATGAGTGGGGAGCATCAGACTCAGAGGAGGGAGGGCGGAACAAGGGAGGGAGGGGCTGCAGCTTTTCACACAGCCTGCCCCTGCCAGTATTGTTTTAGCATTCAAGTGGGTGAGGTCTGGCCAGGTACATATTTATGAGGTTTTACAGCCCCCCTGCACACACAGCCCCCCACTTTCCTCCAACTTAAGATTAAACTTTAACTAGTGTTGTCACACAGTAAATTGTGTTTGCTCTTTCAAAAAATATCATACTATAGCTGCCACAACTGGTAATCTAAGCTGTGATAAAATGGAGTCAAGCGATGCCCTGAGGTGCACAAGGACACAGGTGTTTCTCAAGGTACAGACGACAAGGTTGCCAGTCCTCCCTGTCAAACTGTATTAGTAAATCAATCTGTCATCGTCAAATCCCCCAAGTTTAAATCTCTATAGATATATTGCTGATGTGGTCAGAAGGAAATGAAAGATGATGTGCACTCAGTAACTTCAAAAGGTTGTCACTTTGTTTTTTATGATTTGATGTAGGCAGCGAAGGCTGTACTTGAGTGAAAAGAATATAACAATGGAAAGAAATTGCCTTTCTCTCGTAATGCACTGCTTTCTAGCATAAGCCATTCAACCTGAGAGTTGTGCGCCCACCTTGAAAGATGGAAAGAAATACATTGTTCATCTTAAGGGTCTAAAAGCCGGAGTCTGCACCAAGTATTTCCTCTCTCTTCGTGCATGTATTGTGCCCTGTTGTCCTTCGGCTGACTACCGACAGTTTTTATAAGAAAAATACCCCTAACAGTTGCTGCGGCTGCTTAGGCAGTTTGACAGGCTGCACGCACAGAACTCCCCCTCCTCTGAGCTTCAGATTCCGGTATAGTTGAAGATATAGGCTACATCAGATATTATATTCCTTGGGTGTGTACATAAATGGATCCCTCTTACATATTCTTACACATTTTAAAGCCCCCTGTGGAAACTTTATCTCTGAATGCAGCGATTATCCATCATTTCGATGCAGTTAGTCTGCGCATGTGTATATGCCCCAGTCCTCCACTTGAGGCCACAACATATTTTCTCTCTGTTTATGACTTGATTCACTGGTGGCTTTATGAGTCTGGTGTGATTAACGGAGGAATTCAGTCTTTCTTCCTGTGGGTCCTCGCCTATCCATAGGAGATAATTATAGCTGTGGCTGGTTGTAAATACAAGCCCAGCCAGGGGTTGTCGGACCAGGAAATGGGACATCATCAGACTTCACCTGGGAAGGAACATAAATCAGAGGCTGAGATAACAAAGATGTGTAGAAGACAAAAGGATGCAGGAGCCCTGCAGCAGTTCACTGACACATCTGTTCAGACTGCAGTCATTTCCAACCCTGGACCAGGTGTAAATGATAGTTGTAGCTGTTTATCTGCACTTATGGCTTAGATTGAAGGAACAAAGAAAGGCCAAGAGCAGGAATTGTTGTGGATAAAGATGAGCCACAACGAAATCAATTAATCAATTCCTTATTCAGTAGCAAATGTTTACCATGTTTGGTTAATAAGTGATTCAAGTGATTAATTGATCATTAAAATAGTTTTGAGTTAAAAATCAGATGGGCATGAGAAAGAAGAGAGGCTGAGTTTAGGAAGAGGTAAACATATGCATGAAAGACTAAACCACAGGCGAATTTACAGAAGGTCCGTTCTTGCTAATTGACCTTTTTTAGCACTAAAACCCTCACAGGTTTAGATAGTAGGGGTGGGGGGCATAATTGCTGGGGTTTTTTATTTAGCTAATGTGTGTGTTCTCATTGTTTTGAGTGCTTACACAGGACTCCACATTGTTTTTTAATAAGAGCTCCAGGCATTGAAGTATTTGTGAGTAAAAAGTAATTAAAATTACAATGGGCTAGCCTATGTGTTGCTGGGTAGGTGGAGGGCCGCACAGCAGACGACGACTTGGCTCCAACTCACTGCCCTTGTATTCATTCATTAGTGATGCATTGGTTTGCGCTTGGCCCTTCCATCTCATCAGAAACAGTATCCCCATGGACAAAGACAGGGCTGCATAGATGTGCCCATTATGTTAATAACTCCCCCACCTTTTATACACAACCACCATGTACCAACTCTTTACACTGATGTATAGGGAGCAGACATTGCCTCTGTAACATGGGGAGTGTGTGGTTGAATCCATGAGTTTCACCGTGAGTGTGCGTGCATGTACTACCTAGGAGGCTGAATTGACTCCTTGACTTGCAGCGCATGTACTTGTTATCGACTGGAGTGCTTTGCTTGGCCTTGGACACTTGTTAATTGTAATTAAATGTTTTTTTTCCTCTTTTTCTGTGTCTGTTACTTCTAGCTGGCAACGGACAGATGGTACAGATGGACCCCAGTAAGTCTGGCTTTGTGGGTTCACAAGTGGAGCTGCGCTGCATTTTCATCAACAGTAACCCGCCAGTCAAGATCTCTCAAGTCACCTGGCAGAAGCTCCTCAACGGCACCAAACAGAATGTGGCCATTGCCAACCCAGCACTCGGTGTGTCTGTTCTCTCACCCTTCAAAGAGCGGGTCAGCTTCAAGCAGGCAGCGGTTCGTCATCGTACACCCTCGCTGGAGGACACCACCATCATGTTCTCCAACCTGCAGCTGTCTGATGAAGCTGCTTACATCTGCGAGTATACTACATTTCCTGCAGGCAACCGGGAGAACATGGTCAACCTGACTGTATTTGGTAAGAGCTTCTAGAAAAATAATGATTTGAATCCACAGCATCTATAATTTTTAAGGTAAAACTGACAAACGTTGTATTTTACTGAAAATAACAGCTCCCTGTACAGATGTAAAGCTTTAAAGGCTTAACCCTTTCCAAGTTGCATCAGCATTTTCAGAAAATTTAATTGATGACATTTATATTCCCAAAATGTTGCTTCCCTGTAAAAAGGGTGTATCTGCAAAACTTGCTATTAATGAGCTAAAAAAACATCGCAGCACTCTGTTTTCAGCTTTGTGACAATAAATTTTTTTCCATAATCAAATGGGGTTTTAAATTGTTTATTTAGCTTGACAAGAAGGAGAATTTTCTCCATCTATATATTAATACTTGTTTGAAAAATTCAAAATGACCAAATTTGGAGATTGGTTTTCACTGGACAGAAAGAAATAGGATTTCAATGTGAAATCAGAAAATGCATCTACATTGCGGTGACTCAAGTATGTGTCAGTACGTTTTTGAGATAAGGAAATGGGGGAAAGAAAACAGTTAACATCAGTTAAGGAGTAATTTCCTCAAACATGTCATGACTGGCCTAATGAATAGTTAGAGGGATGTAAAACTTGTCTCTTTGACTTTAGGCAGAAAAAGAACATTTTTCAGAATCAGATAACATAGGGTCAAACTGACTTCTGACAATTTTCCATTTTAGCTAAAAGAAAACACTTTTACAGCTCTGCTCTTCAATGTTATATTGCTACAGGCTTTGTTGTAAAGTAGGTTGAGTTCCTCTGGAACACCTCAAACCAGATACTTTCCTACCACATTGTTTGTAGTTAAAACTCCCAGGCAGAGATCGGTGAACAGCGCCATCAACCATCACACCATGGTTGAATTTACAAGGCTCTCAATCCATTAAGGGCCTTGACATTGAGTGTTCATATTCAGCAAGTGAAAATAATTTTGACAAATTCATGATTCATGATGATTGTTGTGACATGTTGTTTAGCACCAATCCCAGATTGGCCCATATGGCTTTGATAAAATAGGAAACTGCTGGAGAGAGCAGTCAATAAAAATGGCAGGTGAGACCGAAATCAATAAGGCCACTTCAGAGTGTGTAATTTGGCTTGAATAATCGCGTCTTGTGAAAAAAAGAGGAATGCCTGAGATGTCGTTTATCTTGGAAAGAGGCAGCTTTGAAAAGGTTGTGCGCTGACTTTGATTAGAGATCTAATTAGAAATTAAGTGTTGGTGTGCTTTCCATTAAGTCCCAGTAAAAGAAAAAGCACTTGCCTTAAGTAGTCCCTGTTGCCAGAGCTTCTTGTCAGCTCTGAGTCCCCATTTTGTGTCACTGAGCCTCCCAGGTCTTTTTAGGCTTCTGCGGCTCACTGAACATTAGGAACCTGTGTGCAGATAACCAACTGGCAGCGTTCAAAGAGGCCTCTTCATGGCCTATCTCTTTCAGTTGTGCATTCGCTCAAGCTCAAGCCTGCCTTTTGATGTACTAAGAGTAGATTGCTAATTGGTAACTCACAATGGATTCAAATTGGATGACTGCATTTGGGTAGGCAAGTGGGTTCTACATCTGTGCAAGCTTTGACAACTGTTTTTAGCTTTGAGGAGGGAAAGAAGCAAAACTTTGCCTTTGATTTGAGTTACAACACTGTTTTCATCTCTCATCCCCTTAGTTTAATTTACTTAAAAGCTGATTGTAGGTGAAGTAGACAAAATTAGACAAATGAGATGGAGAGAGACTGAAAGAAAAAACTCAAGATTTTTGTTTAATGAACTTTAATTACATTTCATTCATTTGATTGCTTTATCCTTTCGTCTCTACAGCTCGGCCCATGACACGTATGACTTTGACAACGCCCACGATTGTGGCCAGGGCTCAGAAACGCAAGATGACTGTTGCCACTTGTGTGTCAGCCAATGGGAAGCCACCAAGTGTGATCAAATGGGACACCAGGTTGAAAGGCGAAGCCACTTTCCAGGAGACTCGCAACCAAAATGGGACAGTGACTGTACGGAGCAACTATGTGGTGATACCGAGCCGCGAGACCCACAGACAGAAGCTTACGTGTATTGTGACGTACCAAAGTGAAAAGATCACAGACAGCGTGGTGCTGAATGTGCAGTGTAAGACTCTCCCATATTAATGCTCTGATTTTTACAATTTTTTACAATGAGCAGGTTGGTTTGGACTTATTTTCACCTGGATTTCATGTTTTCATGCACCCAAAAGTTGTTGTTTCCTGCTGCAAGAATAAACCAATAATAGTTTACAGTAAACTAGGACCTTTCTAGTTGTACAAGTCAAGAGAGCAGACTATGCACTAGACTCTTACTAAGGAAATGTTATTTTAAAAAATATCATTTTCAGAATTTCTTTTAAATAACAAAAATTAAAATGTTTAAAAACAATACTGAAACAGCCTCGTTAATTAATTAATGTAGGAAGGAGTTAACTGCTTTTAAAAAAATTACATTTCATTCTACTGTCTTACAGGTTTGTTAAACTATTATGCTCTACTTTTTCCCCTTTAAACAGTATGTAACCCTAACCATCATAATGCAAAACACATTATCATAGCTAATACTGTTAAACATATGGAGAAATTGAAGTTGCTTCAACACAGGTACAATGATACAGCGGTGTTTTTGGATTATGTTGTGGAGGGATGAACTGACTTCGGCATACCTTCCTTGCAGATGAACCTGAGGTGAAGATCGAGGGCTTTGATGGAAACTGGTACCTGAACCGTCAGAATGTTCAGCTGACCTGCAGGGCTGATGCTAACCCCCCTGTCACGATCTACCAGTGGAAACTGTGAGTCTGACTAAACCCTAACAAAAGCCCTTAAGGCTGAGAAGACAAGACAGCAGGGCTACGTGTTGTTTCTCTCACGTTTTTTCTCTCAGGTTTCTGACTGAAAAAAAAAGTGTTTTTGTGGAGGACACAGGAAGGCAATTTTATAGAATGGCCTAGTCCAATGGAATCAACTCTTTTCCAACATTTGTTGGATTATACTATATATGCATATAGTATTCAAAGATAAAAACACACCATCCATTTGTTTGTTTATAAAACCATGTGATAAAGACAAGAGTTGGACCCACACCCAGAGCACAATGGGCCTATTACAGCAGCAACACAGCCCTATCTGCCTGATGGTCACAGATACTGGGAGATAAATGCAAACAGAACACGGTTTGCTTTGCTTATGTGGTTTTGCTTTGAAGTTTGAGGACCAGCATTCAGGTAGAGGGGTAAGAAAGCATCATTGTTAGTGCAGTTGTGTTCTCGGGAGGGCACAGAAGGCAGCGGTTTGTCGCTGATACACAGAGAAGAGAGCTGAAACTGACAGCTGTAGTACGAGCTGTGGATTAGGCCAGCATACCACATGGCTGACATCAGTGTTTCTGCCTCAGAGACTATCATTGCAAATACTTGAACATGTTTTCAAGGCCTCTGAGAATCGCTAAATAAACCTGGGTTTGATCTGCTTTGAGTAATGGCATGAATGTTGGTCATGCGGAAATTTTGTAGTTTAAATATAAACAGTATAACATGGAGGAGAACACCTAGAGTGCACAGTTGTTTTTTGTAATTTACATTGTTTGAAGTGTTTTAGAGATTTCGAAGATTTCAGATGCAAAACAAAACAAAAAGTCAGTACCACTCGTTGAATATAAAGCAACTTTTCTGAGCATATTACGGTTCTAAATGAAAGCATAATGCAGTAAAATTGAGAGATAAATGTAGCAATTTGTCCTGTAATTGCTGGGTGAAGGCTGGGTTGAGAAATATGTCTCTGGACTTGAGTGGATGTGGATTAATAGACTATTGTACCCTCATTGTATCTACTGTATGGGCTACGGTTGGATTTTAATGAGGCATAGGGGATCATTTTTCCTTTCTTTCCCTTATGCATAGATTTAGCTCTCCGGGCAGAAACACTGATATACACACAGCAGCAAAAAAAGACGACGAGATAGAGAAGACTTGACCTGTTTGGGGTTTTTTTATTATCAGAGGCAAGGGGAGATTTATGGAGATAGGGAAAGAAGAGGAGGAGGGTGAAGAGATGTGATGTAGAAAGACGAGGGCACTGTGTTGACAGATAGGAGGGGACGGCCATTGCTGCACTGAAAATGAGATGCCAAATCTGTTGTGAAGGTTCCCTTGGGCTCCACTGTGGAGGTCAGCACAAGGCTGTGACGGAAGGATCCGGAACAGGCCGGCATGATTGCGTCACACTTATGTGTTTGATACAGATCCACATTATTTCCAGAGACAATCAGTTGTATATAGTATTTATGTTATTCAGTGAGATCTTTCGTATTATCGTTTTTTTCTAATTAATTTGGCTTATTGTGGCAGCTATAATAAAAACAACTCTTTAGTTTGTACCATCTCTATCCACTTTTCACGTTATATTTGTTTCCCTGCATTGTGTGAAGTGTGCAGAGAGCCTTGGCATTTATACAATTCTTGAAGAAAGAATTCGAGCATCTTTGATTTTTTTTTTTTTTCTCAGGGCCCAGTGCCACAGCTAATTCTCAAAATGGGTTAATAGGGAGCTGCACTGAAAAAGCAGAAACTCAACAAAAAAGCAACACACACTATTTGAACTTTATTGTTTGTTTTTGAAATGTTTGTTTGTAGGGCATTCTTAACTTGCCATGCTCATTTGTTGAGTCTGTTTTAAGTGCATGCTGTGATTTTCAGTGGGCAAAATAATAGTAAGCGAGGTAAGGGAGGGCTGAAGAGTTGTTTATTATCACATGTAACTCAATTACTTGTGTGCTGAGAGGACAGACTTTTTTTCTTTTCCTAAAAAGCAATTTTCAAGCACACGCATCATCTCCCTCCCCAATGCATTTTCAGTTACTCAAAGATATCGGATTCTATAAATAAAAAAAACAGTATTATTGTTATTACTGCACATTGCAGTGTGATTACCTCAAACTCCACTCCAATTAGCTGGCTTACTTATCTCTTTTGTGAAAATGTGGGGACTGCTGGTTCAATAGCTGCAGATAAAACTCCCAGATTACTTGATGCTTAAGTATAATTACTGCAGGATATAGTTAGTACAGTCAGTTCTGCCTCCACAAAGGCTAAACAGGCCGATGCCCCTTTTATTTAACATAAGAAATTAGAAAAAAACAAGAATAAAACCCAACATTAAACATGTATGAAAGAACACTTTCAGGCCAACGAAACAAAGGGATGTTTGATTGAAGACACCGTCCATTAATGCTACTCATTTGTTAGTGTGAAGTCCAGAGAGCAGTCTTAATTTCTAAATTTAATGAATATTAAAATCTCTTCTAATGAGTTTCTTGTTGCAAATGTGAATTTCCATATTTTTAGACCTGATTATAAATAGCAATCATATTTTAGGTTCTGGTGTTTTAGCATGTACAGTGTGTTTTTAGTTTAAAGCTGCCTCCACAAAATCACACAGTTTCCTGTGTAATCAAGATGGCGATTTTATAATTAGTGTCTTTGAGTCCCCCCCCCCCCCCCCCCCCCAACCCTCCGCACACCCACATCTGTACACACACATCACATACATGCATGCACAAGGGTAGGCCAGCCAGTCACCAAAGAGTCTGTATCACTCTCAAGCTGTTTGTTACCCTTTCATTTTGCTACCCCTCAGGCTCCACACACACACACACACGTTCAGATGTCACATACAAATGCAGACATCTCTGGTCGCAGCAGAATCTGTGGTGAATCGCAGTTTGCTAGCCTTTCATTTCTGTAGCAAATCAATTGAGCTTTGCAGAACTCAGCATTTGATAGAGGCGCACAAGGTAACTGATTATTGAATCGTGACATACTGTATTGAGGGTTGTTTGCAGCTCCATTGTGAACGTGTCTCCAAATCGGCATATGAAAAACAACTTGACCGTAGCTCTTTTATTACTTTTGATCTGAACTGTGGGTACTTTGTGGTTTTGAAAAAAATACAGTGCTTTTTATTCAGACTGGTCCTGTAAGTCTGCTCTATAAAATGCAAATCCGCTGTTTGTAATTGACATTTTATGATAGATTAATTAACAAATAGCTTCTCACTGTGTCTTTCCCCACATCATTGAAGAGCCTTGTTCAAAATCTGTTTAGTGCAGCTCAAGTGCTTGATGTGTGGCCATTGTTTGCACAAGACCTAATTTTGTTGCCTCTCTGTAATGTCGTTTTGTTTTTCTCTCACTGTAATAAATGGAGCATTACATTATGGCACAACAGCAGATCTCAAAGTGTCTCTCTATGACAGAGAGTGAAGGGGGGAAGTCTTTGCAGCATCCTCATTGTTTAAAGAAACCAAAACTACCGCCAATACCCAGCAATTCACCACAGTCAGAGCTGAGACCATGTTTGTAGCTCCACTTAAGCTAGGTCCATTCAGAGCAGCTGATGAAGCTGATCGAGGGGAAGGCAACAGGAAATGGCTAATTGTCACAGAATTTGATACCCTTTTCAGCCTTCAGGCTCCATAAAAAGGGTCCAGATAATAGAATGGATGGTCGGTGTGCTCATGATCGGTGACCTCAAAGTGTGCTGACCTGATCAAAGGGCATGAGCGAGTCTGAACGAGTTAGAGATAGTGAACCATGAAGACAAACACCTCAGGCAGGAGAGACGGGCTCCAGTTCTCATTGACAGCTCAGCATTTGGTACATTCTGCATTTATCGCTTGATCAGCTGCCTCTCTTGACAGCTCCCCTGAGTTTTGAGTTCAGCCATGTGAGCTGTGCTGTAGTTAAGGAAAAAAGCCCCCCTCACCACCCCACCCTCCTACCACCACTGTCTGTTTTGTATTCTACATGCCAAAAAAGCTGTGTGTCCTCAGGCGTCAACTAAGTCTTACCTGTTTGGACCTGCTGGGATTCCCTGTCCTCATAATTTTGTTTGGACTTGATGGATGATGGCTGAAATATAGCACTGTCAAATATTCCTGGTATTTATCTCACCTCGACACACACATCCGCGTTTGTTTGGCACTAGAGACTGTATTTTTCATGCGCTTTGAATTGCTTTGTCGCTCCTGGGAGAGGGATTTTTTCCCTACCTACTGTGGTCTGGTGTAATTCTGCCTTTTTATGGTGTCTCTATTATTGTCTCTCTCTCTCTCTCACCACAGCTTGAATGGCTCCCTGCCCAGTAATGTGGAGATCAAGAACAACACCCTGTTCTTTAAGGGGCCGGTGACCTACGACCTGGCCGGTACGTACGTCTGTGACGCTACCAACGGTATCGGGACTCGCACTGGCACCGTGGACGTCAACATCACAGGTAGGTTGATAAACGCAGTCGTTTCTCTTTTCTGCTTCTTCAATAACCTTGGCATGGCTTGCATCAATACAGTACCTCGCTAAAATGTTGAGAAACCATCAGACCCCCGTCCCCCCTAAAAGAAACACATAATCCATGCGCAATATCCATGCACACGTGCAGACCAGCTGATTGTAGCAGATTACCTGCATGTTTTCAGTGCAGTTCCCACCTGCCAGAGGCTTTGTGGCTCCCTGCTGTACTGTGTGGCAGGTGAGATGGGGTAAAAAGACTCTGTGCTTGTGTGTCAGAGCTACACAGACACTGTGAGAACACAACAGCCGCCCCCTTCCATCATGCCCTCTTACGCATCCCGGCGCATGTGTGGGAGCGATATAAAGCAAATCTATTATAGGTGCCTAAAATAACATCAAGGAATATGGGGGTTTGAGGTGAAGGTACTGTATTGATCATAGTTTGCTCGCATCACGCTCATATTTCTCCGAACAGCCCGTGCCTCTTTTGTAGTTGAGCTCTGCGTTCATTCTTTCGTCTCTTCTGTCTTCTGGGGAAAACAAAATGCTGAACAAAACTGATTCAGTTCCCTTGCCTTCCAAATAATTGTTGGCACACACGCATTGTGGTTCCTCTGGGTTCTTATCCATAGGAGACAATATTTTGCACTCAAATCCCTTGCAACAATATATACCAGATCTGACTTTGCTATATGTACTATAAATGTGGGACTCTTCTTCTATTGGTGCCAGCTGTGTGTGTGGTATTGGGAGACTGTCACAGTTTTGCTCTGGTCGGACTGGAAAGACTTTTTCCCTTTACTCTTTGTCCTGCTTGATTTCTGGGAAGCTGGGGTGTTCTAACTTGCATTGCTTTGCATGTTGACTCATGCTGTGTCTCTGGGAACGCTGTGCTCGGTGTGAAGTGAACAGCTGTGCCTTACAGTATCATTGCATACTTTTGTTTCTGTGTCCTGTCTTTCAGTGTGTTATTCTCCAAAGGTAGGGGGAAGGCTAATACAAAGCAGCTTTGTAGGACGTGATGTCATTACCTGCATTGTGAGAAGTTACCCGTCAAAGTAGGGGGGTTAGTAGTGTGATAATAGATATCTCAAAGGAGCGTGAACAGTCCTTACTTATCAAACAGGAAAGTGAGGAAGTAATCTACCGTCAGGAAATCACCCTGCAACAGCTTGTATTGAGTAATTGTGTTCCAAAGAGATTGTACTGTTTGCCATAAAGAACTGTATCCTTTTGGAAAGAAAAAACAAAGGCACCAAAGTCATTTTCTATTTCTGCTTTTTCATTGATTGCTTAAATTAACAAACCACATTGCCATTGTCCCTGTAGTCTTTCTGTTTATTCTCATCATTTGTCCGTATAATTTTATTGAGTGAGTGTGGTGAACAATGTGTGGGTACATAATTTGAGTGCATTCAGTTTCAATTTGTCCGTATCCAAAATATGATACCAAGCGTTTTTGTTTTTTGTAACATTTAGAGCCTTGTAAAGATTTGCAGATTGTTCAGCAGCAGGTCAGAGGAAATGTAGTGATTGATTTTGAAGCTGTGAAAACACTCACACACGGTTCACAGTAATTAATACACTTAGTTATTACATATCATATCAGAGAACTGTGATTAGGCATTAAAGTGTTTTCACATTTTCTTCTTGACAACTTGATTGTCACTTTACTTTCAGCTGAAAGAACTCCATTTTACAAAAGTAGCGTCATGCCAACACATATTCTGAATAAGCCAGGGGTCTTTGAATGCTGTGGACTCTTAAAAGTAGCTAAAAACAGGCATTTAGGTAGCATATGGTATTTAATGTTTAAACTTGTGTCATATGTCTGTTCCTCCTGCATTTTTTTTATCAGTTTTTCTTTGTTTCAAAAGCACTGTGTGACTGGTATCTGTGAATGGTGCTATTTAAATAAACTTTACTTGCTAATAAGCTGGCGAGATGCTAGCTGCAAGTGTTCTATATTGTTAAATGGCAAAAGTCTTGAATTTCTTTCCCAAAGGGTCCCATACAAGCCTTAAAAGCATGTTGCCAGTTCCCATAGTAACAGTGACAAGTTAAAGGGAGAAGAGCCAGCCTCTCCTCCTAAAGCACATTTCAGAGTCTCAGCTCCAACATGGCGCCCAGTGAAATTTATGAACAGCTCACAAACAGCGATAGTTTGTCTGTCAAACATTTGTATGGTTTGGTGCTTAAAGTTGCAGAGAGGAGCGCAGCAGCATGTACAGACAGGGACAGAGATGTCCTGCCCTTGTCTCATACAGGTGCAACATGGATATGTTACAGTGGGATCATACAGTGCTTGTGCTTATGTGCTATTTGCTGATGTTGTGAAATGCTAGCCTATTCCTGTCTTAATGTGAACTTGTCAGCATAATCTCCTGCACTACCACTGAACACCATTTAGCTTCAAGGATATGTGTAAAAGAAATTTTTCTGTTTAGAAGACGTTTCTGTGAATGTAGATCAGCTTGTGGTAGACTTAACATCAGTTATGATGACATGAATATAAACTGTTAGAGGTTAACTTGAGGGTAGGCACAACATTTCTTTTTAATTCTTTGAAGTGCTCTTTGCAGCCTTGACATTGGCTGTGCATAATGACCCGGTGGCTGTGGTAAAGAAGTATGCTGATGCTTCATTAACTTCAAAGAGCATCTTTGTGCTTCTCAACAGCCTCAGACAGGCCTGGCTGAGATATGGCAGGTGAGAGAGCCCACTGCTGGCCTGTGTTCAAGGCTGCAGCATTGGGGCTCAGTAGTGCTAGCTAAGTGTTATTTGCAGAAAAGGAAGGTGACCAACCTGATAGCCCGAGTACATTTGTTCAACAGCTCACAGAGCTACCAGTGCTGAAAATTTCTAGACTAGTGCTAAACATGAAATAATAATTTATTTTCCTTGATCAAGGGCACCTTTTAATGGTTTTGGATTTAGAGGCACTCTGTAGAGCCTGTGTTTCTTGTCAATAAGCTGGCCTTTTTTAGCCTGCTGTAAAGTGTCAGAGCTGTAACACATATATCAAGCTCTTCATACCACCATTGTACATAGTACTGTCACCTAGATTTATCCAAATGTACTACTACTAGCTGCATTATGCATGGATTTGGCAGTAGCACTTTTCATTTTGAAGTTGATTTTTATATTGTCACAGCAATATACACCTGCCACTGATACGACCCTTCTTCCAATGTCAGGAAGATGAAATATCCAAGACAACTTGTTTGTATCACAGAAAAGCTATTTTCTCACACTGGGAAACAACACTGATGGAGCACTTAAAGAAGGCGCATTTTAATCAAGCTCCTCAGTTTTCATGGACGGATTTGTGGGGAACAGCATAACTGTCACCTCGGCAGATAGCGGGGGCCACAGAGCACCTTGTTTCAATTAGTTTGCGGATAGTGTTTGCTGTGGAGATGGCATCGACTACCGTAAGTCACATGGGCTAAGACGGCTTTCTCCAAGGACATGTGTTTTGCAGATATGGTGTTGCTTGTCAGAATCTAATGAACCACTCTCCTGTTTTAATCAGTGCTCTCAAAAAAAAAAGAGGTGAAAGAAGAAGTCTGAGGGAAAAAGAGGATAGGGAGGGGAGAGGAGAGGATCTATGACAAGAGAGATGAGCTTTATGGAATGGGCCTCTTCTTAGCAAATACCTCTTTCATTCACATTCAGTTCAGAAATCTCCTGAGGAAAAGTTGACAAGTCGTCAGATCTGATCAATCAGCAAATTACTAACAGGCATCAGAGGCCATGTTAAAAAAAATAGAGCCAATTAAACAGCCTCACAATGAAAGTTATTTTTCATAATTCATTCTCAGAAGGTTTTAACCATCTAATAGGAATGACAGTCAAACACTGACGCTGAGAAAGCCACGGGAAGAGGGGACGAATAATGTGGTTAAACCTCAAGGATCCTCCCCAACCAAAGAGAGCAAAATCTTTCATTAAGATAATCAGCTTTTCCACCATCAAACACTGTTTTTGTGCTTGAAACAAATCAATGCTGTCATCTTAACCTTCTTTCCAGCTCATAATAAGATGTGATGAATAGCCGTTTTGTCAGGATGGCCTTACAATTATGTCATTATCAGGCCTGAGAAAGGAGGTGTGTTTTGTGGTGGGATGTGGGAAAACTTATTTCAGTGAAGCAGCACATTCACTTCAGAATTAATTTGTTTACTCACTTGAATAATCATTTAAACTTGATTAGATATTTTTTTAACCTTGACTCTCCCACACAACAGCACTAATCGTTATGAGATGGGGGCCGGACTAAGTCAAAGAAAATGCATAAGTCCTGCCACATTAGCTGGATCAGCTGTGACGATGATTATACGATCAGCTCAGGGTCAGCCACTATATAAACCTTTTGGTGATTCCACTTATGGCCCAGCAGTGCTAACTTTCATCTCCCTTTGTTAGAGCTGTGGCACCGAGCTGCTTTGGAGAGCAGAGGTGCAGTCAGCTTTGCTACCGGGCTTTACCACTCGGGTTAAACTGGATGGAGTGAGAGCGTTCTCTTCAATTTAGGAAGAAAGCGTGAGGATGGATCCTTCTGGAAGCACAGGCAACCGGTGCAGATGTCTGTTCACGCTCGCCTGAACAAGCAATAGTTTGCTCCTGTGGGACAAAATTAAGTTGAGAGAGAAGAGGTGTGGCAAAAAATTAACCACATGGTCAAAATTAGATGAATAAAATATAGACAATCCAATGGAAATCTAAATAAATAAAGGTATCCATGTGACTGAAAGAGATGCTTCAGTGGGTCTGATTTTTAGAATTTAGTTGAAGAGGTAAAGTGGATTCCAGAAATGGGCTCCAAGGCAAACAGAGACTGGGAGTGGTGCAGAGGCAGAGTTGGAAGAGAGGGCAGGATGCTGTTTACATGACTTTATGTAACAGCCTGTGTCAACTCTTGGTGTTCATTGCTTGTCACTTTCTCTATCCTCCAAGTTGTACAATACAATGAGACACAGTGGT